ATGTAGGATGAAAGATACCATAACCTTGTCCGACAATGTGGAGATGTAGTCATCTACCAGAGTATAGGTGGCGATCACGAACTATTCTAGACAACCCCGTGGAAACACCAACACGCTCATAACCTGTAGGTGATGTTGTAACTACATATTCATGTGATGATACTCTAACCCTTACTATGAATTACGAGTTCAGACAATGTTGTAACTACATATTCATGTGAAAATACTCTAACCCTTACTATGAATTACGAGTTTAGGCGATGTTGTAACTACTTATTCATGCGATGATACTCCAACCCTTACTAGGCGTGTATCGAGGGGGTAATCCCCAAATCATTACTGTCTATGTGATGTAGGCAATGAACCTTAGGAACGAACGCATAAGGAAATGTGATATAAAGAGATGAGAGTTAAATACGATATAGGAGACGATAATTCTTTAGGGAATATTAAATAAAGATAATGGGGATGGGTAATCGGTTTAATTGTTTGACATGAAGTATATGAAGAAACAAATTAACTATATTATTATGGGTTGAAAACATTATGTATTCACCAGGTTTCTCAAACCTACCCACTCGATTTATTTGTATCACAGGTGTCGATACGAAGCTACATTAAACGGATATATTAACGGTGATGTAAATCATTAGTGTAAATGAATGTAAGGTGTGTTTATGTTTATGCTTTTATATTGATGATAACATCTCAATGTTTTAATATAAACAAAATATATTTCTTCAGAAATGCTTTGATAATATCATTTTCATGTTTGTTGGGAACAAATTCCGCAATATTATTCTAAAAAAATGCTACTCTGATTTTAAAGTAAACATAAATAAATTTTTTAAAATGATCGTGAATTTGGAGATGTCACAACCTGCGGGCTATACATGAATGAAAATAGAAAATAATATATGGTTTAATGTTATATAATTGTTGTTATTGTTAATTAATTTTTCAAAATTTATTAGCTTAATATTTTAAATTAAGTATAATATGTTAAAAGTTAAAGACATAACTTTATAAGTAAAAGTAAATATATTATTTTAATATTGAAATTTAGTTTATATATGATTACACTTTAGGTTAAATATATTATAATCATTATTGGAAAAAATTTTTTGAAAAGTCGTGGGAGTTTCAGATGAATGTGGTGAAAGGAAAAATGTTTCCTTTATAAGTAACCATTGATGTGATAAATTTTTTTTTTAACTCTTTCATTTTAAATCACAAATCTTTTCAAACATATAAGTTTTTAATCAAAACTTACTTATATACCACTAATATAGCTACAATGTGTATAAAAAATAAGTGGAAAATAAAAAAACATTACATATTAATAACCATAAGTTTAAAAAACTTTTGAATGTAATGGAAAATATAATAGCATGACTAATTACATTAAATTTGAAATCATAATTATATTTAAATTAAAAAACTATTGAGTTGTAATGAGAGTTTTAAACTCTTGAGTTGTGACTAATAATGTAATATAAATATTAATAATTATAGGTTATAAAAACAATATTATAAACATTTATCATTGAAATAATAATTTTTATACTAAGTTGTAACTAAGAGTATAATAACTTTAAGTATACGATAAGAAAGATATAAACAATTGTGTTTGAATCAAATTGATTTAAGTTTTTGATTTTTTTTAAAACTATAGATATTATTAACTAATTTATAAATAATTTATTTGAATATTTTGTATTTCCTATATTATAATAATAATAATAATAATAATAATAATAATAATAATTATTATTATTATTTCAAATAACAACAAAATTTTAATCTAATATAATATATTCTTTAGTTTTACGTTATTTTAAACAGTTATTACATTTTACTTAATTAAAAACTACTTATTTGAAAAAAATCAATATTATATTTAAAAACTATCATCTTTTTGTATTGTACTTTCATTTTTTGTTACTATAAAATATTGGAGGAGAATAAACGTTCCAAATAAAATGGTGATTTGAATTTTAAAACTACAATAATTGTTATTTTTTGCGATCAATCTTAAAAAAAATATATGTTAAGAGTCGGTTAGAGGATGATGAGTATTACACTTGAGGTATATTTTTATCACTTATATTTTCTTATAAAAATATTAATACTTTATTTATTTTACTTTTCCTTTACGGTAAAGAACGAATAAGGAAAAAAGAAATTGACAAATATTATAAGATAATAATTTATTTTTATTACTATAAAAACATTTTACAATAAATACATTCATGTAAGTTTTAGCAGTTTTAGCAGAACATAAAGAATTCATTTTATAACACACATAATCATTGGTTTTCAACAATAAAGTCATATCATATTAAAAATCATTCATTCTAACTCGCCATTATCTCCAAATATCTGGAATAATTATTGTAAACTCTTTTCATCAAAAATCAATTATAAAAACTACATCGATGTTATTTACAACAAAATAAGCGATAGAAACAAACATAATATATAACTTATAATAACATAAAATACATACTGAATAATGTTCTCTTGGACATAAAATATATGTCTTAACATAAAAAAGAGAGACAATATAAAGATACATACATGCTAACAAAGTTAATTGCTCTAACTGATAAATAGTTTGAATGTTGATTTACCAAAAGCTAATGAGAAGTAATTATCATCATCCTATGATTATAGAACGATGCATAACACATACGCTTACATTTTTTTCGCAAGTATACCTTTACAAACATATCTAAATTTGAAGCTTGGTTAATATCTAAAACTTTACATGCACCCAATTTGAGTTTACATGAATTTATGTTTGGAAAAGTTGCAATTGCTTTCTTATATCGATTGAACCACTCACATAACTTTTCAAACCCTAAACATATAATCTATCATTTTGTGTTGACATATATGCAATCTATAATCTACAAAATTATTAAATAAGCTAAATATTTCATCTAACTCATCAATAAAATAACATGATTTCAATAGTTTTGGAAGTTACAAATCGTAATATTTAAGCTAATCATAAATTAATTTGTATAAGTTAAATAGTCTTGAGAGTTTCAAATGCAAGAGGTTTATGGAAAAATGCTTGCTTTATAAGATATATAGATATAGATGGATACTAGGCCGTGTTGCGCAAAATATGACAAATATATACTTTAATGACATTGTCGTTAGCTCTTATATAATCCTATGAACGTGGAAAATATACCGGATTAGTCAATTCGACTTGAATTTTTTAAGTCGTTCATAACTGTTTAGTTAAAGTAAGAATTGATTTTGGTCGAACCATTTAGTTGGGCGTGTTTCTTTTCAAGATTCATAGATTAGAATCCTATTTTTATTAAATATCTTTAGATATCTTTTGATTGTTTTTTAGTTATAGTTAAAACTAACTATTGCTCTTATCCCTATCCCGATGAGCCGAAACCAAAGCTCTTATTTTTTGTTGAGTAATAGTTCGAGTAAGTCTTGAATGAGCCCCCCGAAAGCTTGAAGCAAATAAACGATTTTTTGTTCTACGTCTCCGAGCGATATACCCCTGTCTAATTCTGGTCATTGAATAAATGAAATTTTCACGAATAACTAATAGATACTGTTGTTAGCTCTTATATAATAAATCGTATAATAAGTTGAAATAAACATTATTGGTTTTGAATTATATGCTAATTTAGACATGTTTTAAAATTTTATAATCTCAATTGTTTTAATGATCTCTAATTGCAAGTTACTCATGAATAAAATTAAACACAATATATGGTTTAATGATATTTATAGTTGTTGTTATGATTAATTAATTTTAAAAAGTTTATTTGCTTAAGATTTTAATTTTTGTTATTGTAATTATTTAAAACATCAAACATTGTTTTTGTTTCTAAAGGTAACAATATAATTTATGTATACAATATTACTTTTAATTATTGTTGTTATAATTGATTCAAAATAAATTATTTGGAAACTCTTAATTATTTTAATTTGGTTTTAGAAATTTAACTTTTTTTAAAAAATATTTGATGAATATTAGTTTCTTTGATTGTAATTATTTTAAGAGTAAATTATTGAAATTATCCATGTGGTTTGGTCAAAATTGCACGTTTGGTCCCTAACTTTTTTTTTTGCACTCGGATCGTCCATGTGGTTTGCTTTTGTTGCGTTTTTCGTCCTTATGGTTTGGTAAAAGTTGCATGTTTGGTCCCTAACTTTATGTATGTAAGGGACGAAAAACGCAACAAAATCAAATCACATGGACGAAAAACGCAACAAAATCAAACCATAGGAATGATCCGAGTGCAAAAAAAAAGTTAGGGACCAAACGTGCAATTTTGACCAAACCATAGTGATGATTTTAGTAATTTACTTTTATTTTAAACAACAAACATTTTCTTTTTGTTTTTAAAGATAACATTATCATTTTTTATATAATTTTACTTTTAACTATTCTTATTATAAGTTATTTTTAAGCAAATTATATGAAAATTCCTAATGATTATAAAAAAAAGTCTCATGTTTTTTTTTTAGTTTAAGATTATAATTTAGATTTAACACTATAATTTATAACTTTTAACTATTTATAAAATAGTCTTTCAATTTTTTTCAAGTTTAACTTCAATTTTGATTTAAGTTAACAATTTTAACATTATATTAAAACTAATAATTGAACTATTTTGCATAAAAACATAAATTATATAAAAGTTGTGACTTTAAAACGACAATTGCTCACATAAGACAACATATTTAAACTAATAAGTTAACTATAATATGTTAAAAATTTAAAATCGTAATTTTATATATAGAAGTAAAATATAATATTTTAATATTGTAGTTTATTTAATTTATGATTAGAATTTAGTTTTTATACTAAGTTAACATTATTAACCAATTCATAATAATAATTAGAAAAAAAATAAAAAAATCATGGAGGTTTCATATATATATATATATATATATATATATATATATATATATATATATATATATATATATATATATATATAGACACACATTCACTCATTTTTATTTTATATCCTAAAATCAAAATACATAAAGTAAAATAACATTTGTTATTTTATTTTAAGGTTATTACATAGTAATTTTGGTTACAAATAGAACTTGTTTTTTCAAGCAAAGATCGATTAAATATGATTAACATTTCATATTTCCAACAATTATTCCCATACATTTGTAGGAATATTTTCCATAGAATACACATACACATCAACAAGACATTTGCATTTTTCACTTATCGGCTATTGGTTCAATGGTGGTTCAAGTGTCTTCTCATATTCCTCTATAGATTTGAAGAGCTCCGAGAAGTTCCCCTTGCCAAATCCCCCACACCCTGCTTTTTGTTGTATATTTCCTTTATCGTCATTCAACATACAACCAACTCTTTGAATTATCTCTATAAATATGGTTGGCCTACTCGAACACAAAAAAAAAAAAGTAGAATTATAACAATGACCAATTAGAAACAACTGTTGTTATAAACAAAATGCAAAAATATTATCAAATATGTTTTTCATAATGATTAATATGCAATTTAAGGTTGTTGAAAATACTAAAGGAAAATGGATAAGGTTTTACTCTTTCTCCATGTCTACCACGTATTAGTTCACACAAACAAAAATCAAGTTCTTCCTTTCTCTATCTCTATCTCCCATAATTTGCAAGCAAGACATTTCCTTTTGTTTGATTTCTTTTCATGAGTCTTTACGCCTAACAGCCAATAGAGTGACACAAAAACCTTGAGAGGATATCCAACCTCATTATATTTTTATAATTGTACTTTACTTATTAATTGTAAAATAGAGTAACATCTCCAACTCAACTTTATTTTACACTTAATAAATAGTAAAATAAACCATTACACTCTAAATTTGGAGTGTTAGTTATACTATTTCTTACATTCTAATTTTACACTCTATTAAAGTGTAAAATATATTTTAGAGTGACGATGTAGATGAAGTGATAAACCACTATAAACTCTATTTTACACTCCAAAAATAAAGTGTACTTTGAGATGTTCTAAGGACATAAGTTACATCCATATAGATTTTTTGGTCGGTAAATCATCAAAACACGTTGATTTTATTTTGTAGATATGTATTAAATTTCAATAGATAATAGAACAATATTATTATATTCTTTTCTTATAACTAGAGATGAGAATGAGACAGAAGAGTATCGGGAACCTTATTCCACATCCTCATCCCGTTATCCCCCCCCCCCCCCCCTAATCCGGCATCCCAAATGGGAATAAAAATGTGTCCTTATATCTTCATCCCCAATGGAAAATGATGAACCCTATCTAAAAGTCATGGACTTTCCTGCTCAACTTTTATGTTAATATAACTTTAAATTTTATATTGACCAACATAAGTTGTAAATCTGTAGTTATATTTTAAAACCTTCTTTTAAAATTTTGTTGAAAACCGAAGCTTTGAAAGAACAACAAACAAACTCTCAAAAATTAAGATTTTAGACTTCTTTTACTTGTTAAGTCATCGTAGAATGAGGTATGATAACAAGAGTATATACAAACACGTTATTTCTTCCGATTAGCTCTTTAAGTAATGGGTTAATGTCATCGTAACCCAACCAAGTATCAAGTACTATTTTAAATGGTCATTCATGTTTTTTTGTCGCTTAGGGACACAAAGTCCATTTTTACCTGTTAAAAAAAACTTTAACATGTAATTCCTGGTTTCCTTAATCACGTGGCGTTTTCACTCAAAAAAGAAATTAAACTGAAATCCACCACACATCTTTATCCATCATCTTCTTCTTCCGCTTTTATGTTGCTCCCATTCATAGAAACCAACGACCATTCTTCATCTAACAACTTAAGATAAACTCCATCATAATCGACCCAAGAAACCGTCAAATTTTCCCTATAGGAGGTTCAGATAAATAAACACATATTTACAACATCAAAAACATTGACCAACCAGTCAACACATTCGAAAGTGAGTTTATCATATGAGGTCTGAACTCGAGAAGGCCATCTAATCCGTGTACAACAATATGTATACTATAGAACATACCAGGAACAATGATATCATGACCTCTGACTGTAATCAGTGATCTTGGATCTCAATGATGCAAAGAGATGGTTTCCAAATCTGTTTGTCAAGGAAAAGAACAATGGTAAATCTGAACCAAATAAGATCTTCTAAGTTTTTCATACTAGTGGCTATTTTTGGAACTTAAGAAACAGATCCAAGAATGAAAACGGTAAAAATCGAAGATTTGTGCCACTGACTGACCTCCCACTCATTTTCATCTCCGGCACGGGGACTGAGCTCCCGTCTATGGAAGTCACCTCTGGTGCTCTATTCCTCACACATTTTTTTTTCTTGATTTTGTTCCCGATCTGGGTGTGATTTGCTTCTTCTGATCTTGGATAATAAATAATGGTGTACGACGGAAGATACTAGTGGTGAACAATGGAAGATGTTGGTGAAGAGTGGTGGCTAATGGTTTTCAGATTTGAATCTAAACCCCAAAAATAGAGTTTCAAACTAATGGATAAATAGGTATTTGAAACAAAGAGATGGTGATTGGTTTCTGGGTAAAGGAAATAAACTTATTAAGGTAATTAACTTTTCAATTTGTTTACATTCAGGTAATTATCTTTTTTTTGTACACATATAGGTAACGAACTTTTTGGAAGTGTTCACATATGACCATTATGATCAGCTGTAGCAAGTTACATCCGGTCATAACCGGTTATATGTGAACACTTCCAAAAAGTTTGTTACCTAGACGTGTACAAAAAAAAAAAAGATAGTTACGCAGGTGTGAACAAACCGAAAATGTAAGAGTAAATTACATGAATAGTTCCTATGGTTTTGGTAATTTGTGTGTTTGGTCCCTAACTTATTTTTTAACTCGGATGATCCATACTATTTATTTTTGTTGTCCGTGTGGTCCCTATCTTACCTCAAAAGACTATTGTGCCATTTTTAATTTATTTTTCTAATTAGTTTTCTTATTTATGTATTTATTTTTTATATATTTAAAAAATTTAATAGATCCCACATATCTGCATCTCCTCACCACAACCCACTGTCTCTTCATTGAATTTTCCACCACCACAACCCAATAGAAGGATTGGTGTTGGTCGCGGGAGTTGAAGGATTGAAAAAAAGAAGGGATGGTGGAGATATCGATGTCACTAAAGATGGAAAGGAAATAGAAATTGAGAATGATGAGAGATGGGATGGTGACTGGTGGGACCCAACTTAAATTTCTTAAATGTGATTTCAGGTTTAGGATGAGGAGATGCAGATACGTGGGATCTATTAATTTTTATTTAAATATATAAAAACTAAATACATAAATAAGAAAATTAATTAAAAAATAAATTAAAAATGACACAATAGTCTTTTGAGGTAAGACATGAAAAAAAAAAACAAAAACAAAACAAAACAATATGTATCATCTAAGTTAAAAAAATAAGTTAGGGACCAAATGCGTAAATTAGCCAAACCACAGAGACCATTCATGTAATTTTCTCTTACCTTCTCGGTTTGTTCACATATGGCTAACTATCTTTTTTTGTACAGAAAAAAAAAATTATTACCCAAATGTAAACAAACATAAAAGTTAATTACTTTAATAAATTTATTTCCCTCTAGGTAAGAAGTAACTTATATTTTTAGGTTTAGACGTTTAGTTGTAATTTCTTTTCTATGTTAACTCATATAGATAGTTAAAGTTCTTTTTATGTTTGAATCTAACATGATTTTTTGATAATGTTCTTGGGTTTTAAAGTGTACGAAATCTTTTATGTTTAAATCAAACATTTATTTACATTCTTCATATAACATTAACAAATCTATTTAAATTCTTAATCTATAAAACTAAAATACGATACAAATTATTGAAGGGTTTACTGCTATGATGATTTTATTGTTATCGGTGATTCTGATTCTTTAAACAATCAACCACCCCCTCCCCTCCCACCCACCACACACATACACACATAGTAAATCATTTTGACTAGACAAATGTTTACCAGATGACCCTTCCAATATCTATTGATATTGGCTTTTGAACACATTAAATGGATTTTATGCCTTTAGAAAAGCCAAAAAATAACACTAGAAACATTTTAAACCAAAACTGAAAAGTTTGTAAGGCATCAGTGATATTTTCCCTTAAGTAATATGTGTGTTAATATCATTTTAATGTGACCAACTACGAAATTTCCAGTTTAATCATTTACCAAAAAAATTACTGCTAAAATTGTCAACCAAGGTTTGTAGTGGTAGATTATCAATTTAGAGGTGGTAAAACTGACACAATCCATCAATCGAACATGAAAATAATAAGTTTTGATAAGAGATTTTGTCATGTTTAATAATCGGGTGATACAACACGAAAATTAAATAATTAAAATTATTGTCAAATTCTTTCAATACTTTTAATATTATAACACAACACGATACGCTTATAAGGTCTAAAACCTAAACATTAAACCCCTCACAAAAAAAACTAGTTTGAAAAAGTTGTTTAAATAAATATATTGTTGCAACACGATACAAAAATTAAGCAATTCTCTCAACCCATTTAATATTTAAAACCGAAAGAATCTTGCAGAACACAATACACACATTAACCATGTTCCAATTATATAAGTGTTAAAAGGTAATGTCGGTGGTAGTTTCCACCGAGGTATCCTACCTTATACTTTCTAAAATGATAATTTTTACTCTTATAATTTTAAAATACTTTGTAAAATGCCTTTTTCTACTTTAATATTTTATAAAGTGACTTTTTTTCATCAATATATTTTTTATACCTTTTAAAATGATAGTTTTTACATTTATATATTTTATTAAATACTTGATGAAATAAATTTTTATAGCGATACATTTTTTAAAATGACTGTTTTCACTATATACTTTTCAAAATACGTTTTAAAATATAACTTTTATCACTTCATTTTGAACTTTATAAAATGTCAATTTCGTCATTTACATTTTGTAAATTTTTGTGTTTATCGCCATAGTATATATAATCTACTTTTCCTTAATAATTTTTGTTCCTAAACTAAACTTTTATTTTCTTATTTTAATGTATGTATCGGTATAAATTCATGGTGATCAATGTCTCAATTTAAATTTATAGTTTTTGTTCGTTATTTTTTTAAACAACTTACATGTTTTTCATATGTACATGTCGGTATAAATTCGAGTTAGTCTACGTTACAACGCCATTTTTTTACATGTCTGTGCTTATTTTTATATACGCTTTATGCGTGAGTCAGATCATATATAATACAATTTTTGTTATTTGAACTTACGCTCGTTACCTTAAAAAAATATTACTTACTTATTTTTATGTACGTGTTGGTATAAATTTGAGTTTCTTTATGTTTCAAAGTAAATTCTATATACATTTTCATGCTTATTTTTATGCACGTTTACTACGTATGAGTCTAGTCACATATAAAATGTTTTATCACCGGTACCAACCTTGTATATTTATTTATCAAAAAAGAAAAACAACAATATTTTTCGTGCTTATTTTTATGTACGTCCTTGTATGAATTCGAGGTAATCAACGTTTCGAAGAATATTTAGAATTTTCGTTCGTTAGGATTTAAAAAAAAAAAAAAAAAACTTGTTTTTTTATATTTATGTGTCTATATAAAGTCAAGTTTGTCTACTTTTGACGTAATTGTTTTATGTTTTCATTTTTATTTGTATTTACATTTTCTACGTATAAATCGAATCACATATAATATGTTTCTTTTTAATTTGGACTTTTGTTAGTTAATTTAAAAAAAGAAAATTCTTACTTACTTTTATGTACATTTCGGTATAAATTTAAAAAGAAACATATTATATGTGAGTTTGTTCACGTTTCAATGTAAATTTAATGTAAGTTTGCATGTTCATTTTTATATATTTTACCTACGTATGACTTTGGTCACATATAATACTTTCTTATACGACGATATAAACTTGAGTTAATCAGTGGTACCCGACCATGTATATTATCTATCGACAGATACAATACTATCTAACTTTTATCGATACAATCATCAAAATTCAACTTACAAAACGGATTGTCTACTCACACTCACGACAAATTACTGGTCTAACATAATTTGCTAACACTAAAATTTTATTTAACTTTTAGTTCATTTATATTATATTTTTAATTATCCCAATTACCACCCCCATTGGTAACCCTCAATATGTCTGCTACTTTTGCAATAAGGAAGTGAAGAATATTGAGGAGTTTCATGTGAGGAACATAATATTACCTGTCACCCACAGGCTTGGTGAAGATCTGAAGCAGAGTCCCCTGATCATCTTTATCCACCAGTATTCCCAACTCCTCACACTCCTTAATCTTTTCATCTGTCAATACATCTCCAACTCTATTCTTCAAATTCCGATAATAAGTAGGCGGTGGCGACGGCATAAATTCAAAACCACCAACTCCGCTGTGCTTCCTCATCTCTCTCAAGGTTCCAAATATGTCCTCACTGGAAAGCGCCAAATGCTGAACTCCGGCGCCTTCGTTGTGTTCCAGATACGTCTGGATCTGGCTCCTCCTCTTTGTTCCGTACACCGGCTCATTCATCGCGATCAAAACCATCTCGTTATTGCATGCTAAATTGACCGCATTGAGTCCACTTTCGTTCGTACCAACATCATCCGCCGTGAATTCGGCGAACGTATGGAATCCGGTGAATGATTTCACGTAATCTACAGCCGGAGCTAGTTCCGGGACGTTGCCTACGGCGTGATCAAGGCCGCGAATCCCGTAGTCAAGGTCAGGAAGCGACGACGTATTTTCAACGGGTTTGAACCCGGGCAAAAAAGTAGATATGGCATCGTAGTTGGGACTCTTGTAGCTTACGTAACGCAAAACGACGTCACCGTAAAGTTTTACTTCAGACAATACGACGTCGTTATCTCCAAGGGTGATTGGAGCAGAGGAGGGTTTGGCGCCGTGGGAGACGCTGATGGAGAAAGCGATTTCGGCGTCTTCGACTTCGATGGCGATTGAGCGGACTGCGAGCCCGTGGGAGGCGGTGAAGTTGCGGCAATCCGTTAGGGAAAACGTCGGGATGGAGGCGGCAGTGGTGGTGGTGGAAGGGGAATAAGGAGCGGTGAAGAGGAAGTTGAGTTGGCCGGAGCGGAGGAGGTAGGAGGCGTGAGTTGTGTTTCCGGTAGATAGATCAGACTTCTGAACGATGGGCATGCCAAGGCCCCAAGAGAAACGACAGGCAGTTTTGGTGGCGTCGGAGCACCAGAATTCAACGTGGTGGAACCTTTTGACTGAGAATTTGTCGGACATTGGATTTGTTCGGAGGAAGTTGTTGAAGCCAACTAGCTTGAAGGCGGAGCCGGTTTGTTCTCCGTCAGGAGCGGTGATGGTGTTTCCATTACTGAGCTCATGAGCTACGGTTTCCATTTTTGGATTTTGATAGCTTGTTGACAACTTTTCTATAATCAATTTATTTTGTTTAGTTTTAGAATTTACTTTTTATCTACTCTAAGGTTTTTTTTTCCTTCACGTATCATACTCTTATTATTTAGTTTCTTATTATTATTTAGTTTTCTTATTATTATTTTGTTTATTAAATGTTATTTTTTTTATTTTGAATTATTTTTTTTCCGTTATTTCATAGGTTTTCTTATTTTATAAAATTTTATATAATATTTTAATGTAATAACTATAATAAATATAATAATAAATTAATATCAATTTTATTAATGAACATTCATTCTAATTTTAAATTTCTAAAATTAAATTTTATTAATTTCTTTTTTTTAATATTTAAATCATGTTGTTAAAATCGCGATCTTGATCGTCCGATCGTCCGATCGTACGATCATAGGTATGAAAAACGATCCAGATCGTCAAAAGATCGTATTTATGGTAGGATCGTAAGATCGTAAGTAGAATCGTAGGATTGAGATCCGATCCGATCCTACCTCCCTTCTTTTTTTTAAAACATTTTATGTCTTTTACCCTTACCAATTTAGTATTTATCATTTTGTGTTGCAACTTATGATTAATATTTTGAAGTTTTTATAACTTTTAAACAAAAAATTGAATGTTTGAACTATTTTTCATGATTAAAAATTATAAATTAAAATTATATTTTATTTTGTGGGGTCTTAGGATCCCGATCTCGATCATACAAACCCAAAAACGATCCTATGTAGGATCCCGATATTAACAACTTTGATTTAAATTATTTGTTTAAATATAAAAGATAAAACAAACATTTTAATTTTAATAATTCATTATTTTTCTTATAAATTTAAAATTCTCAAATATTTAGATTATATATATATATATATATATATATATATATATATATATATATATATATATATATAATTAACCCATTTAATTTATGATCTCACAACTAATTGTATAGAATTAACTAACTAATTATATACAATTAGCTAGATATGGATGTAGAAATTAGAAATGACAATCATATCCCCTCAGATGAGACACTACTTCGTTACTTGGATGGTGTGATGCATATGCATAATGAAAAAAAATGGAAAATGTACAAATAAAGGAAAAGTAATTTAAGACATAACGATCGGACATTTGAAAAAAAAAAAAAGTACGGATCTGAGAAATTAGAAAATAGGTAAGAAATTAGAGTGAACAAGAGAGTACTAAAAAAGAACTAACATACTAAAACGTTATAAACAATAAAGATAAAAAAATAAAATAAAGGCATACAAGAGGGAGAGACTATCTGCAAAATTAAAATTCAAATACAAAAAAAAAAAAAAAAAAAAAAAAAAAAAAAAAAAAAATTAAAGATGTTACATGCTACATGATATTATATGATTTTAAATGTGTTGCACTACATTCGTTTTAAAGTTTTTCTCTAATTGCATTTGAAACGCATTTAAAGTAGGGGTGTCGATCAAGTAAACTTTTCGCGTTTCGCTTAAATCGGGTATGTTAATTCGGGTTTTTCATATAAAAAAAATACTTGTTATTCGACCCGAATTAAATTCGATTAATTTGGATAGTAGGTCGGACTTGGGTAATTCGAATATTACCTGAAAATAAATGTAATCAAGTAAATATATCATGTTTTATTAGTCTTATTTATATGAGCAAACGAAACATAAATGAAGTTATTCAACTTTGAAAATTGAAAATTTTTAGTCAATAATACTTGAGATATCAAGAAATCATTTAACAGCTTAATCTAATCAATAATAAGAGGTTAAAAAACAAATACTCAAAGATTTTAGTTTAAAAGTTGAATCGCATGATAGAATCAAAAAAGAGTTTAATATATAGAATAGATATATTACTCATTGTTTTAGATGGAAGATTTGCAAACTAAAACACTATAAATAAGCAAAAAAATGATCAGGAATTTAGGGAAAGTCATAAACAACATATGGATAATTGTGGATATTACCCAACGGATCCTTTATTTTTTAAATAAATCGGGTATTCCGGGCTCAAACTGTCGCTACACTTTTTGAATCGCAACCTGAAACCCTATACCCAGCCTACAAAAAATAGGGTAACCCGAATACCCGAAAATATATACCCGATACCTAAGTTATCCGACCCGATTACCCGAATTGAAAACTGGTCAGACGGGTAATTCGGGTTTTGGTTATTTACAAGAGACTAATTTAAAGGTGTAACATTTTTATGAAGTGAGTTTAACAATTTCTACCATCTTAAAAGGAATGAATGTCTATTAATATTAAGAATTAAATATACGAAATAAATACTAACCAAATGATACGATGATGCAAACCGGTCGTTTGAAAAAAAAAAATACCGGTAACATTTCATGAAAAAGAAAACGGCACTATTATGTATATGGATTATTAGGTTAAGTGGTTAAGATAGGGGTAAATAAGTAATTAGGTTCCAACTTCCAAACTCAAATAAGGAGTCTCAAATAAATAAAGGGAAACCAAATTTACATAACATTTCATGAAAAAGAAAATGACACTAATATATATGGACACTTAAACAAGGAGTCTCAAATAAATAAGGAGAAAACAAATTATTCAAAACTCCTTATTCAACTCGATTAATAAGTGTTTATAATTTTTACCAATCCAAACACTAATATCTTTTTATTATTGGTGCCATATCGATATAAGAAAATAAAGATTAAATAAGCAAACCCCCTAACCATTTCCATCATCTATAGATGAAGATGGTATCTAGGAGAGGCTTAGAAATATGGTGTAAGTTGCTAATCTATAAAGTTTTATTGTGCCATGGGTCACAAACAATATTTGCTACCCTCTCATGACACGACACAAGATGTGTGTGTAATTGCAACACTCAAACACACTTAGAATACCATATTTTATGTTGGGTTTAGAAAAGTTGATTTGTGTTGGGTTTCCATAGGGTACATAACATACGTACATAAACACAACATTTAGATAATACAAAAAAGAATTGAAAACCCCCAACAATCATTATCATCAATCTACCTCCTCTAAGGCTAAGCGGAGTGGCTCGCCAAATACCCTCGCCAACCATGCTAAGCAACTTAGAACATTGCCCCTAGTGCTCGCTAGGGGGCTCGTCACAATGTTGGCGAGAAGAGAGAGAAGGTGAGAAACGAATGTGATTGGTCTGTGTGTGGTTTGACCAGATTACTAATTTGCTTGACAAAATTCAATTTGTTGAATTCAATTTAACGAACCTTTCAATGCAAAAATGACGATTTTGTTCAAAAGAGAAGAAGATAAATCGTCTTTGTTGTTTGGTTTCCCCAAAAGAGAAAAAGATGAAGCAGATGAAATATGGTATATTTATCGAATGGTCCTAGTAATTTTACTTTACTTAAGCTTAGTCCATGGAGTTTTAAGATTATTTCTAAATCAAGTGAAAGTTATGTTTCATAATGATATCACAATGGTACACATTCATTTATAATAATAATAATAATAACTACAAAACAAATTCATCTATGGTTTAAAAAATAAATTTTTTAATATTTATGCACAAAAAATGTTTCTACATTAAAATAAAGTAATTTAATTAAATTAGAAAAAGAAAAAAATAAAGTGCTAGGAGTTTTATCACTCCCTACCAAATGCTAAGAATAAGTGTTAAATGTTAACAAATGAGTGACACTCCAAAATTTGAGGTAACAAGGTGTTACTAGTATTACCATTCTCCTTAGTCTAATAAACAAAATCTAAACAAGCCACATGTCTTCTTTCTACACATTTGTTTTGCCATGCGGCTTGCTTATATTCTTTTACATTTTGGTTTCTACAAACTCGAATTTCATCTATGAAATTCGTAATTGAAATTTGAAATCGGTTCAATTAAACGTGATTTGAGGATAAAAGGATTTGAATTTTTTGAAATTCCTTATCTCCTCTCCTCTTCTCTGGAGTATCAATCGAATTTGTTTGGTAAACCCGATTTTCTCTATCCCCCCTTCTAATCATGTAATACTTGATTCTCTTCTGATTTCTTTTGATTTTCGGTTTGAAATTTCTAATTTTTTTTATTTAATACCGTTGATTTGCAAGTAAAGCCCATTTCACCTGTTTATCATCTCACCATCTAAACTATTCTACCAATTCATGTTTTCAAACCATAAATCGACTTATGGTTTCATCAGTAAATACGACTTGATTTCCCATCTTCATCTACAAATGAGTCTTTCTGTATGCATTCATTGGTTCGTATTCCCCACCTCATCTTCACATGATTAGTCATCAGCATTGTAACAACCATCAGACACCACGCACCAGTCCACGCCTTGATTTGTAACCTTAGTTCTTATAACATCTCGATGATGAGGTAATATCAATTTTAACCCTATATATGAAGAAATATTGCATTTTGGTCCATGTGTATTGTGACATCCCCAAAATCACGGCCAGAAAAGATCGATTTTGTTTATGCTTTATAAAAATCAGAGTACTTCATTTTATAAAAAGGTTGCGGAATTTGTTCCCAGAAAAACATGGTAAATACGTTATTAAAACATTTTCGAAGAAACGTATTTATTTCATTTTAAAACGTTTGGGATGTCATCGTTAATACAGGAACATAAGCATAAACAGAACTTACAATTATTCACACTAGTGGTCTACATCTCTTTAAATCTCTCAGTGTAATGTCACTTCATATCAACACCTGTGATATAAATAAACTGAGTGGGTCAGGTTGGGAAACCTGGTGAGCACATAGGGATTTCAATCCCACAATGTTATACCATATATATAGTTTAAAATTCAAAAAATATACAATTTCAACATACATATATATAAACAACTCTTATCCCACCCCGTCGATCCTCGCAACGAGGCTATCCATACTCTCGGACCTAAGATTAGTCGTTTTACCTACTCCATACTCTCGGATCAGAAATGAACGAATTTACAAATCCATACTCTCGGACTAGGGACGAATGACTAATCCATACTCTCGGATTAAAGATGAATGATTATGCCTAATCCATACTCTCGGACTAGGGACAATAGCTAATCCATACTCTCGGATTAACGACGAATGATTATGCCTAATCCATATTCT